AGGGAGAAGCAGGCTCCCTGCTGAGCAGGGAGCCCGATGTGGGACTCGATCCCAGGACCCTGGGATCATGACCTGAGCCGAAGGCAGACGCTTAACCCACTGAGCCACCCAGGCATCCCAACTAGAGCACGATTTAAAAAATCCAATGTTTTATTATTTATTTATTTATTTATTTTTAAAGATTTTATTTATTTATTTGAGAGAGAGAGCACATGAGAGGAGGGAGGGTCAGAGGGAGAAGCAGACTCCCTGCTGAGCAGGGAGCCTGATGCGGGACTCAATCCTGGGACTCCAGGATCATGACCTGAGCCGAAGGCAGTCGCTTAACCAACTGAGCCACCCAGGTGCCCAAAAAATCCAATGTTTTAAAAAGTTCTTATACATGAATTACAAATGCTGTGGATGACATGTACATAGCCTAAGACTCTGAGAATCCTTGTCTTGGGAGTGTTTATATTCTGTTTTCTTTTAAAGTGGAAAACTAAGGAATTATCATATGGCGGAGGCTCAGGAATTCCTACTGACAAGCAGTTCTTCTCTTCGTTTCTTGAGTTTCGCTTGCTGTTCAGAATGTTCGTGATTGACTTCACCCCTACAGCTGTGTGCCAGTGATCACACAGGCGACTGCAGAATGCGTGCGGTACCAGCACAGTCACATGTCCTGTTGGCCATGGGCGCGCACCGTGGCATTGTTACCAGCCAAGCACAGGGCGCTCTTTCTTATCGCTGACCCGAGTACGGTGTTTGCAGGATACATGAGGGATGCAGATTTCTTAACCCCCTCTTTAAAAATATTATCTTCTTTGCTCTTAGGGGGCTCACTTCATCCAGATATGCTGCCAAAGGAATATTCCTCTGCTGTTCCTTCAAAACATTACTGGTAAGAAAATAGCGTAATCAGTCTTGTTGCATTATGCCAGAGCCTCATTGTCCAGTATGACTCCAGTATTGGACAGTGTAGACCTGGAACACTTCTGTCATAGCAGAAAGTTCTATTGGATACTCTGTGTAGAGTCTCTTTAAGGCTTAACCCTTCATGAATCAAATATATGAGAAGTTAATCCATATTTGGATAAAGCAGTTTCTGAGTTACCCGTATCACCGTCAGATGGCTTCCCTTTCCCCGTCCACATGCATTCCCTACCAGGAACACTCTGAGCTCATTGGTCAGAGTGTTCATTGTCTGACCTATCATCTCTGAGCTAACACTTTGTTTTCCTTAAAGGACTTCATGCACATGCTGTGGTTCACCCTTTGCCTCATCTTTTCTTGTGTAGGTAATTCTGCCTGAAGCGACATATTATAAAAGGTCTATGCACATCCTGAACAATAGCCTGGGGATTTGAGTTTAGATTCCAAAGAATGGTGTGATCAATATCACCTCTCTGGATTTCATGTTTCACAAATGATCTTAATAGGGTTGATGAAATGATTTGTAACGTTTTATGGTTGTAGATTTCTTTTTCTTAGAATTCTAGGATTCTATTATTTATATTGTATGTTGCCCTTAGATATGTTGGTTAGCTGAAAGCGCCCCCCCCCCACCGTCTTCTAAGTGATCTGTGGTTATCTCAGGGTCAAAGGAAGGAGGGCTCTTAATTAGTTGTTAGAATCAGGCAAGCCTTCACAAAAAAAAAGGAGCTTGGCTCATGGCGGTCAGCAGGGCTTTAAATAGTCCTGGTGCTAAAACATCTTTATCTGGTGCTGCTCTTAAGTTTATGATACTTGGGTTAGATGAGTTTTGAGAGGCATTCTATCCGGACAGAAGCCTGAGGGGGTCCTACGTGGCAAACCTGGTAATAGGGCAAATAAAAAGGATTCTGAGACTTCACTAGTCCAGGGACCTTGTTTCTAATAATGGTTCATGGTTTCTTAACCACTAGTAAAGTAAACCTTACTGGAAGATACTTTGTTTTTTGGTATTTAGTTGGGTTGGGGGCAGAGAGCAGAGGTTGAGTTTGGTTTTGCAGCCTTGCATTTGAGATACTTGGGTGACATTCATGGAGATAACATATATGCAGAGGGCAGTTGAATAAATCTTGAGCACAGAAGACATGTGTTAGCTGCAGGTGAAAATGTAGGCATCCTCAGAATATGTAGATGTTATGTAAAGCTGTGGCAAGAGATGAGAACACCCCTAGAGAAGAGAAGAGGGCTCAGGGACAGTCTTTGAGTAACTCTGATTTCTTCCACAGAGATGAGAGTAGAGGAAGGAAGGGAGCATGGTGATGTTGTTTTTAATGCTGGGAAGGATTGGAGAAAGACAAGTGAGGCGGCATAATCTTTTTCAAGGCAAAATCTATAGGGACTAGAGAGGCGGTGGGGTGCCGGGTGAGGGAGCAGAGCTTGAAGATGGCTGCTACTTGAGATGGCTACTGTGGAATGTTTCCGGGAGTTAAGACAAGGCAGAACGAGGCGCTGTGACCTATAGTGAGGGCCCTGCTCAGAGGGGTCCCAGGGAAGCCCATCGCGCCCGGCGAGGGTGAGGGCTGTCCTGTCAGTAGTAGCCGCAGCTTGTTCAGGCGTCTCCGAGGAACTGAGTGGAATCGGAGGACTCCATGGCTGGGGACTTGCAAAGCAAAAATAGTAGCAGTCAGGTGAGTGAGTGGATGGGTGGGGAGGGAGCCACATGAAGCCTGACTTGGGTTCTGTGACGGGAGGAGGAATGCGCCTGGAGGGCCCGGAAGGCCCGGAAGGCCCAGAGTGACTGCAGAGCAGTTTCAGCAGAGCTGGGAGCTTGAGGCAGTCGAGGAATCCTGTAATTGTGGAAAATTCTTCTACCTCGCTATTGAGTCACTGGCAGGGGCTCTCAGCATCTAGGAAACATTCATCTTTATTTCCTCAGAGGTGTAAAGCAGCATTTCAGAAGGAGCAGTTTCTGTATTGAAGCAGGTCTGGGAGTACTGGAGGCCTCACAGTGGGGCTTGCCACAGCCCTTTTTCCTTAGCTTGTGGGGTCACGTTCTTTCATCACCAAGCCGCTGTTCTGAGAGAATTTCTTGAAGATAAGTTTCTTGCATCCTTATCTCGCTTGAAGATCTTTGTGTGCATCCAGATGAACCATTCTAAGGAAAATTTTAGAAATGATTAAAAAATTATATTTTATCTTTTACAGCACACTTTTTTGGGGGATATATTTCATGTATAAATATTTCATTACAGTGAGAGGCCTTGTAGTGAAATATAGTTGGTAAGATGTCCTTCAAATACCATGTTGGAATTGACTTCTGCACATAAATCCATCATCCAGAGGCTTTTTTTCTTTCCTTTCTTGTAGGATTTATGGTTGGTAGAGAATATGAAGCTGAAGGAATTGCCAAGGATGGTGCCAAGATGGTGGCTGCTGTAGCCTGTGCCAAAGTGCCTAAGATAACTGTCATCATTGGGGGATCTTACGGGGCTGGAAACTATGGGATGTGTGGCAGAGCATATAGGTAGGTGGTTGTCGCGGTTTTCTCCAAGACAAAGAATCACACTTCAAGTATAATTATAAATGGTCAGTTCGTTACGGGTTTATTTGAAACACAGAATGACATTCACAGATCTTGGTCAGTGATACCATAATTTGTATCATCTGGAGGAGTGAAATGAAGTGTAAGGCTAAATGCGCTACTTGGAAGAAATCCACAGTGGGAATTAGGAAATATTTTGAAATGGCTGATGATGAAAATACTACATATCATAAGTTATGTGATGCAGCTAAAGTCTTGCTTTGAGGAACGTGTGTAGTAGACGTGAATATATATATATTGGAAAAGAAGTAAGGCCGAAAATCAATGAGCCAGCTCAGGAAGTTCACAGAACAGCGTATTAAACACAAGACAAATAGAAAACAGGACATTATAAAGATAGAAGAATCAGGGAAGCCCAGAGTTGTTTTTGTTTAAAAAAGGTTAACAAATTTGATAATCTCCTAGTAAAACTAAAAAATAAAGCAGAAAATAAAACTAAAAAATAAAGCACTTATTTTATATCAGGAATGGAAAACAGGACATGACCACAGATAATAAGGGGATATTTTGAATGTTTTTATGCCCAGTAAATTGAGATGAGATGGAAAATAAAATTGATCAGAACAGACATCACAATCACCTGGAGAACTTAGAAATCCTACTCCATTCAGGCCACACCTCTGGAGATTAGCCTGGGGTGGGTTCTGAGCCTGGTTTTCCCCTTTGTAATGCACAGCTAGAATGAAGAACCACTAATTTAGAAGGTAAACAGGCCTGTGAAGATTGCTGTGTTGTACAGTGAATTCACTTCATCATTTTTTCTTTTTTCTCCCCGCACAGCCCAAGATTCCTCTACCTATGGCCAAATGCTCGCATCTCGGTGATGGGAGGAGAGCAGGCAGCCAATGTATTGGCCACAGTAGCAAAGGACCAAAGAGCACGTGAAGGGAAACAAGTAAATGCCATTTCTTCTGCCTCTCTGGGTTTGGCTTTTATCACTGAACACTCTGGAGGCAGGGAGCAGCGTGCCCAGAACCTCTCAGTGTTCATGGGTCAGGGTCTCACCCCAGGGCCTGGCTTCATTTAGAAGATGCTGACTTTGAGAAATATCGACTTACATATGCTCTGCCTCTCGTCTTAGAGCCACTTTATTTGAGGTCCCTTCTTGTAATTTTTCTGAATCTCCAAGAAAACTCTTCAGAAACTGTGCCTGTGAGTGCCTGAGGCATAAAGATGTTTGGCTTTAGTCATTTGCCATTAGTGAGATTTAAAGAAATGTGATTTACTTCTTTGATTTTATGACTGAAAGCAGCAGAATTTTGTTTTTTCAGTTTCTGCCTTAGATTGTCTTTGAGTGGGAGGGCTCAGTCATCTAATTGAGAAATGAGTAACATTATCCTGTGCATGGATAAATGAAGGAAAACGGAGAGGTCACTGGCAGCTTGATGAAAGGCAAATCAGCAAGGGGCTGCTTTTAGTTTTGCTGCATGTTAATAGGAGATACTTTAAGGGATTATTATTTAGGTCTTGTCAGCAACATCAAACAAAAGGTACTGAGGACTCCACAAGGTACAGTGTGCTCCCGAGCACCTTAGAAAATTTACATGACTCAGAGAAAATGTGGTTCTTGCCCCTTGAGGAGCTGACATTCTGGGGGCTGACAACTCACAGTCTAAGGGTTGAGTGAACAACAAGGTAATTTATTAAGGCAGGTTCTTCACTGCAGGTTTTTAAAGTGGATTCTTTTGTTTGTGTCTCAGATTCTTTTGAAGTTTTGCATTAATTTTTTTTTTTGAGAGAGCACACACGTGCATGAGTGGGTGGTGGGGAGCAGCGTGGTGGTGGTGAGGAGTAGCGCAGTGGTGGTGATGGGGCAGAGGGAGAGAGAATCTCAGTAGGTTCCATGCTGAGTGTGGAGTCTGATTCAGGGCTCGATTCTATGACCCTGAGATCATGACCTGAGCCGAAATCAAGAGTGGGGGGCTTAACTGACTGAGCCACCCAGATGCCCCTTCACTAATTTTTGTTAGTTAGAACTTACAGCTATTTTGTGTAAGCACCAAGCCTTCAAATGATTGATGCATTTTCTTGGAATTGTTCAAGTGTGCTGTTTTATCATAACAGGGCATAACGTGGAGGAGGCCTTGCCTTGAAGGTTCTCATTCCTGCTATTTAGGGGTCATCTGGTCAACTGTCTAGTGGTGGGATGGGGATAAGATAAGTGTGGAGGGTGGGCCCTAGCTCCCTGAATGCATCCCAAACATGCCCCACGTCCTCAGTCGTCTTTTCTAAGCAGCAGGAACTCTGCACACTTAAAATTAGGTTTCATATTCACTTCAGTACTGATTAGTATCCAAGCAAAATGAAAGGTTTATTTGTGTGTGTGTGTGTGTGTGTGTGTGTGAGATGGTGGGGGTATAAAGTCCATCTGATACATATTTTTTTATTTTTATTTTTTTTTAAAGATTTTATTTATTTATTTGAGAGAGAGAGAATGAGAGATAGAGAGCACGAGAGGGAAGAGGGTCAGAGGGAGAAGCAGACTCCCCGCTGAGCAGGGAGCCCGATGTGGGACTCAATCCTGGGACTCCAGGATCATGACCTGAGCTGAAGGCAGTCGCTTAACTAACTGAGCCACCCAGGCGCCCTGATACATATTCTTTTAAAGATTTTATTTATTTAGAGAGGGAGGGAGTGGGTGTCGGGAGGGGCAGAGGGAGAGAATCCTCAAGCAGACTCCACGCTGAGCATGGGGCCCCACGTGGAGCTTAATCTCACAACCCTGAGACCAGGACCTGAGTCAAAATCAAGAATCAGATGCTTAAGCATTGGCTGGACACTTGCAAGCACTTCCTAACAAGCTGAGCCCCCCAGGTGCCCCTCTACGTGATATTTTGAAGACTTATCTTAAACCGTAGCTCAGTAGTCTCTTATTAGATAGTTGTTGATTAATTTGACATACAAATCTATAGATTTGTCTCTTTTTATATATGAAAGGAAAGTACAGGATTTTAGTGGTTCTCCCTCCAAATTCTTGACATAAAATTATATTAAACTATGAATGTACATAAAAGAAGGTTGGATTTATTTATCATTTATCATTTGTTTTTGGTGTGAAATACTTTTTAAGTTGAAAATATTTTTCAGGGTTTCAAAATTAGTTTGCATAAAGATTTTTACAACTGAATTAATTATCACTTGTTTCTGGCAATACGGGTGGGCAAGCCATTAAATTTTTAATTAGGGAAAAATCTCTCTCAGCTGTTTGAACTTATTCAAGTTGTGGTTGTTTTACCCCATTAAGCTTTAAAATTTTTTGAATTTGGCCCTTTTGAATGAAAATTCCCTACTTGTCCACTTTCAACAGAAGCTGCTAAATGTAAGGTTGCCCTCTAACTACACTGTATAATTCACATCCATTGTTGGAGCCTGCTAGAATATGTGATACCCTTGGTTCTGAAATTTACGCTAAACAGCTTCAGGATGTTGTCTCTGATAAGGGAGATGTAATGATGCACCAATGGCACTCAGGTCTCAGGTGAGATCTTGTGTGTGAAAGCATCACTTGTAATCTCTATATATCACTGTGCAGATGTTGGTTGTAACATCATTACTCGTGAAATGCTTGCCCCTTTTTTCTTGAGGTTCTCTTGAGTGGATCTGTTCTCTTATTGCAGTGGGCTGACTCGTGGGCCTTTTTCTTTCAGTTCTCCAGTGCTGACGAAGCAGCCTTAAAAGAGCCCATCATTAAGAGGTTTGAAGAGGAAGGAGACCCTTACTACTCCAGTGCAAGGTGGGAGCCAAGGAATAACCACCTCCCTGATGGGGGCATCTGGGCTGTCAGGGCGGCAGCTTTCCAGAGATCTGGACAGTTGGGTTGGTCCAGCCTTCATGGGAACCACAAAGGAACGTTTGGACACAATTTCATATTCTGTCTATAATGGGAATGTCTGCTGAAACACCACCCCCTTCTCCCAGCTGGGCTGTGCACCCACCACCATTGGTCTGATTCTGCAACCCTCCCTCCTTCTTCCTTGTCCCACTTATAGGTGAGGTGTCTGGGCCTACAGGGGCTGAAAAGTTTAAGAGTTAAGAGTTATCCTGGCTGTGTTATTTTTAGGAATTCATTCTTTTATAACGTTTTGCTTCAACATGTGGATTCCTGTCCTATCACTCTTTGATTATTTCGTGTTTACCCCATTTTAAACACGAGATTGGTTGGACACTTGTGGGCACTTCCTAACGAGTGTGCTTGTGCATTCAGAAGGTGATTGCTCACAGCCAGGGTCTGTGTGTCAACACCAAGTAATCACCCCACATGCCATTGCAGCTCTTGGTTCTGTTTGTTTCTTACACCGCTTAATGAGGTAATAAATTATCATGGCCTGCCCGGGCTGGAGGCTGGCTGGTGTGTGTGCATTAAGATCTCTGTTTTCAGCAACTTTAATGTCCTTCATTCAGAAGAATAATCTAAGCTTCCTATCTTCATCTTATCCCTTGGGCAGATGGAATAAAGAAAATAGCTATTTGTGTCTTTCAAAATTAGGTTATGCTGTGATTTATGTTATTTACTGGTGAAGGTAAGCTGGAGAGGAAGGAGAAAAGAAAATAAATTAGAATTCATTCAGTCATCTGAACACAACTTTTGTGGCAGGCGCTGCTCCTAGCACTGGGGGTACAAGGGTTGAACAGACTTATTTTCAAGAGCATATTTAATTTCAGAATGAAAATAACACCATTTGGCATCTTTAAAAGGCCCATTTCTCTTCTTGTTCATACGTATTTTCGCCAGCAAATTCACAGGTATATTTTGTTGTGGGTCATTGATTCATTTAGTAAGACCAACGTATTTTATAGTCTTTGAGACCTAAATATGTTCTTGTTTACCATCACTTAAACAGACTTCTATAGTAGCCAGTAAAAGCAAAGAGGAAGTAGAAAACCCTAAAAAAAAGGCTCAAGAGAAGATAATAAATTGTAAGCTCCCCTACAGTTTTTTGTTTCTCCATAAGATTTTGAGTGAAATTCACAAGGACAGGTGAAATTAAACTCTGAAAAATAGTGTATTTTGTGTGAGCCATTAATAAGTTTTTCAGCCCTGGCTAAGTCATCTTTTGAGAAAGACTGAATCCCTTATTATTTTCATGCTTACATTAGTAGTATTATTTTAATGGACTGTGCTCAAGGCAGGAGAGCAAATGGCCCAGATAGATTTATCTTTGGAAATAAATATTGTAAGACACGAAGGTTTTTCTGTTAATCTGAGGATGCTTAACCCTTCTGTTGAAACACTTGGTGGCAGGGGGACAGCAATTTTCTTTCAAAGATGAAAGGATTTTCAAGCCAATTTATGATCCCTTCCTCAGGTTTAGTAAATCTCAGCTTAACAGTAAACTTCTGTGGTCTGTTTCGGCTCTGCCACGGTTGGACCTGTCTTTTCAGAGAGCTCTTTCATTATTCGCTGCTGTAACCTGTGTTTCTCCTAATCCCGCATCTTAGAGGTGCAGCCTGCCTGTTTTCTTCTGCTCACTTCTTTTTACAATCAGAACTTCTTCAGGCATTTGATCAGGGCCTCTTACCTGGAATGGTCATTTTCATGACCATCACAAAGGGGCTCTGGCTTTGCCGTGCTCGCTGGATTCTTCTGCTGTAGGCTTCAGAAGGGAATGTAATCAATTGACCTGGTTACGCATGACAAGAGTAGCTTTTCCTTATTGGCTGTTGATACGTCAGGGTCCCTGTTATGAATGTTTTATGAGCAAAGATTTGATTCATGGCCTGTTGATGTAAGTATGGTTTAATAATTGATGCTATTGTCCAGATACCGAAGGCAGTTTGTTTGAAGAAAGCCAAACTGCCACCTACTAATGACCTTTAAAAAACAGTATTTCTCATTCGTTTTTCTTTATAAAATTGAGGTTGTCAGTGAAAAGCAAACACATTCCTACTTCAGTTTCTTTTGTAGGCAGCTTAAAGCAATTACTTATTTTCCTATTTAGCAAAAAATAAAGAGCTTATATTGAAGGTATTTTATTAACCAAATGTAGTGAAGTGTCTTCAGTAATTGTCATCGTTTCTTGAAAGTTTGGGAGTTTGGGGGAATACACCTTTTCTGGTAGAGACTTTGGTTTGAGATTATTACCTGGGTTCATGGGCCTCTCTCCATATTAATAACAGGGACACATCAACTTGTACATTTGGATGTGGGCAGAAGAGGAACAGGAAACATTTTCCTGAAATACATAAAAATATGTTGAAATCAAGGATTATTCTGAGGTTTCTTGACGCAGTTCCCAAAGCCATAAGCTCACTCTGACATTTTGTGAGGGCCTGGGATGAAAGTCCGGTCTTTTTTCTTTCTCTCTTTTCCCCTCCTTTGAATGTGGTTTTGGTTGTGAGAAAGTAGCGCACAGAAGCTCATCAGTCAATCCCTCTAGGACCCGAGGAAAAACCTCAGCGTTTCTGGACATAAATTGTGTAAATGGTTGTTCAGTGATGGAATCCTAATAACTGATGTTTTGTTCTTTTATCAGGCTGTGGGATGATGGGATTATTGATCCAGTGGACACCAGACTGGTGCTGGGTCTCAGTCTTAGTGCGGCCCTCAACGCACCAATCCAGAAGACTGACTTTGGCATCTTCAGGATGTAACTGGAATGTAAGGCGTCTTCCATGGGACATGTACCAAAAATTAATGTACTGGTAGCCTTAAAATTTTAGGCTTTTCCAACATGTGGCTATTACACTAAAATTCTCAACACAGTGCATTGTACTTTTCTACCTTAAAAAAAAAATCAGTGAAGATATTTATTTGATGAACTTCAATTCCTTGTCCATTTTCTTAGAGAAATTTTTCTGTGGCTCCACTTTACCACCCATAAAATGAAGAGAATAACTTACAGTTAGCCTTTCTAACCCACGTGTAGTATGAAAAGTTCCGTAACCTATAAATCCCAGGTATGATTGAGATTATTCACAGAAAGTTGTTTTTCCACCGAAATGATTGCTTTGCTGATTATGCACGATGCTATTTTAACACACATAATTTTTAAAAGCATCTATTACTTTGCCTTTCAGCCACCATCCTACTCCTTCCTGGAACAGTCAGACTCGTTGCTGTCTGCACTCGGGGCTCTGTTTCCTCCCCATTCTCTCTTCATCCTACACTCCTCATCGGCTTCCACTGCCAACAGCCCTCTCCAAGGTTGGCCTCCATGTTGCTGAAGCCAGTGGGTTCTTTCTCGACGTTACTAGACTGAATTTTCTGTGGCATTAAGAGCAGTCAAACACTTGTTCCTAGCAGTGCTATCCTTAGCTTCCAGACTGTAACTCTAGGTTTTCCACCAACCTCTTTGGCCCCTTGTTCCGTCTCCTTTGTCAGGCTCTGTTCCTCTATGCATTTCTCTCCCACTCCCTTCACCATTTGTTCTGATTTTTCATTAGTAAAACATGAATAGATTCTGATTCTGAAAGATACAAAAATAACATGAAGGTATCTCCTCATTCTTTTTGAAAAATTGTGGTAAAATATATGTAACATAAAATGTACCATTTTAACTATTTTTAGCTGCACAGTTCTGTGGCATGAAGTCCATTCACACGGTCGTGCAACCATGGCCACCACCCAGCTCCAGAACTTTTCATCATTCCAAACTGAAACTCTGTTATGAATAGCCGCTTCCCATTCCCTCTCCCCCAGCCCCTGGCCCTCTCCTCATTCTTAAGTGTAGGTGTTTCTCATGGTTTGGTTTCTTCTCGCTGGGTCATTTCAGGCCTTATGGCTTCGGTGGCTGTCTGAATGTGGATGATTCCTGTGTCGAGGCTGTTCTCCCTGAGCTCCAGACCCGTGTATCTAACGGGTCTATGGGACGTCTGCACTGGTCGGATTATGGGAACCTCAGATTCAATCATCAAGGGCTGTTGATTTTGCCTCCTGTCCTTTGGATTCCCCATTATTTCCGTCTTTCACCACCACAGGCTTTAGGAGTGGTCTCCCTGCATCCAGTCGTAGCTAGTACTTCTTCCCCATCACTGTGAGATGAAGGTGGCCATTTTAAGTGTGCATCTGGTCATGCTGCTCCTTTGCTCCACCGTCTCACTGGTTCCCTGTCGAAGTGCCAGACCCCTCATGCTCTCCAGGACTGTGATCATCACATCCCCTCTTCTGCCTCATCTCCTTGACTCTTCCTCACGCTCGGTGCTCCAGCTGTTACAGATTTCTTGTTCCTTGAGCCTGTAGAGGCCTTCCCACCTTAGGGTCCACCACCCAAGTTTCCCTCTGCCTGTACCATCCTACCTTCCCTTAAACACTGACCTTTTTGTCTCTGTGACTTCCCTGGGCTGGGCTAGACACTATGTGCTCTCGTAAAGCCCCAGCCACTTTCTTCTCTGTCTTACATATTTATGAGAAACCTAAACATTTCCTTAATATTGCCCTCCTGCTAGAATGTAAGCTCTCTCAGAGCAAGGATGTCCTGTTTAGCCTGTAGCTGCAGGCCCTAGCACTTGTAGGTGCTTACGTATTTGTTGAGTGAATGAGAAATCCATATTTTAATTGATGTCTTCACACCACATTACAATTAAGTGGCTGATTATGTGATCTAATACAACTATCCAGTGCTTTCCTAATAAAATTAATATTTCAATCTTTGTATGTCATTTTCAATTTAGGCAGCATTTGGGGCGCCTGAGTGGCTCAGTCATTAAGCCTGAGCCTTCGGCTCAGGTCATGGTCGCGGGGTCCTGGGATCGAGTCCTGCATCGGGCTCCCTGGTCAGAGGGAAGCCTGCTTCTCCCTCTCCCACTCCCCCTCCTTGTGTTCCCTCTCTCGCCGTGTGTCTCTGTCAAATAAATAAATAAAATCTTAAAAAAAAAATTTAGGCAGCATTTGTGTATCAGAAATCAGTTTAGGGCGCCTGGGTGGCTCAGTTGGTTAAGCGACTGCTTTTGGCTCAGGTCATGATCCTGGAGTCCCGGGATCGAGTCCCACATCGGGCTCCCTGCTCGGCGGGGAGTCTGCTTCTCCCTCTGACCCTCTTCCCTCTCGTGCTCTCTCTCATTCTCTCTCTCTCAAATAAATAAAAATCTTAGAAAAAAAGAAATCAGTTTAATTTTTTGAGATGTGTACAGATAAATGCTCACAGTTCAGAGGTGGGCTGCATTTTCAGAAGGATGTGGGACGAGGTCACTGAGAGGACATCCCCTCCCCTTTCCTTGGAAGGTTCCCCCACACACTGTTCCTGTAGGGGGAGCCATTTCAAGAACATAGCCTTGAGAGAGGAAGGTGTTGTTGAGACCATCTGAACCCAGGTAAGGCTTCTTTATAAACAAGATTCTGGGCTGTGGGTATGGAGATGATCTCGTGTTGTGGCGGATGCAGACCACGCTCAGAAGTGCATTCCCTCGCTTACCAACGTGGAGTGGCCTTCTGGCTCCCATCTTTCCCTTGGCCTCCCTGTTCTGGGGCCAGTTTTCGAACCAACAAAGGGGACATGGTAAGCATTTTAAAATAGTAAATTATATTAAAGTTTCAGTTAAAATTTACATCCATGTCAGAAAACAAAAATTAAAAAAAAAAAGTGTAGGTAATATTGCTTTGCTATGAATCAAGTCAAAGATTGATGAATTTTTTAGGACTGTTTTTACCTCTCTAAAGAAATTGTTCTCTCTAAAAAGATCACCATCATCACGAGCACCACACTTAAAATAGTTAAATTATGTTACATACTTAAGCCAATAAAAAAAAACTTTTATCAAAACGGGCAGCATTTTTTGTCTGCCCCCTCCTAGGTTTACTGATTAACTGACATATCATATGGAAGTTGAAGGTGTACAGTGTGATTTGATACACGTATATTGTGAAATGGTTACCACAGTGTGGTTACTTAACACATTCACCTCGCAGAACTTTTTGTTTCGTAGGGAGAATATTTTTTTTTTCCTACATCTCAGTTCTTATAAATGAGAATTGCAGCCAGGATAATAGGAGTAACTTAGAATCTTAAGAAGTATGCAGCAAATTAATCTAAATTAGCCACTCTGGGTACTTCGAGAATAAAAGAGACAAAATTAATTGTATTTTTCAGTTTTCAAGAAAATATTTCAATTTAGAATTTGTTGAAATACTTTCTTTACACTACCAGAAGGCGTTGTTGAATGTTGTTGAATGTGCAAGTAAAAAAATCATTTGCCAGATGTGCATGTTTGTGCATAAGGCACAACTAGAGAGGCTGGTATGACCTCATACCTCATACCTACCCTTCAAGGGTAGGTAACGGCAGGTTTTTCCATGATTTAATAAGACTTTTTTGGGAAGAGGCCACATAGTCCTTGTTGGTTCTGAAATGTGTTCGTTGGTGTCCTGGAATGATGATTGTTGATTATTCTGGCCAAAGCCAATTTCTTACAAATCTTAATTACTGGTTCTGAAATTCAGTATTTAGAAAAACTGCAAGAGAATGAACTAGATAATCATGGTCTCTGGTTATTTATAACATTTCTTTGCAAATGTTAGAAATTACAATCAGTATCTAATAATGCCAGGTTTTTATTGTTTTAACAAAAAGTACCACCAAACACTTAAAAATACATTTTTAAAAAAATTTAATGTGCCTCAAATTCTCTCGTTATATAGAATCAGAATGCTAAGGATAAAGTTGCTCTTTGAGCTAAATGAAATTTCTATCTACTTTTGACCTTTCTAGGCAAATGTACATTCCAGGTGAGGTTTGTAATCAAGCTAATTGATGATCCACTCTGGGATACTTGGGAGGGAACAGGCCCTGCTGTGAATTACACTGGGAAACAGGTGAGAGCAGATTGGGACCTCCGCTCTCTCTCTAGTTGATTATCACAGAGGACCGATGGATGTCAGGTTTTGATACGTCTTAAAAGCCACTCTTCCAGATACCTGCTTTGTAACGTTTTCGTGACTTAAAATAAAAAACAAAACAAAAAATACAAGTTTATTCTGTTCTAGTTGTGGAGGCCAGAAGTCTAGAATCAAGATACTGGCAGGGCTGTACAGGTTCACTCTGGAGACTTTGAAGGGAAGATCCGTTCCCTTGTCTTTTTCAGCTTCTAGAGGTCGCCTGCCTGCTTTGTAATTTTGATTGTGGATTTCAGCATTATATCAAACACATGATATGTGTTAGCATTCTAGAGAGCCATTTAATCGGCTCAGGAGGAGAGTTTACCACAAGGCAGGGGCAATTTTATTTTCTGTAGCACCCAGCATGTCAGTGTGTCTTGCTGCTTTTCCTTTTACAACGGTGACCCAAATCACAGCTTTATGCTACTCCTTAGGTTAAGAGAGAGAAGGGTTGGGGCGCCTGGGTGACTCAGTTGATTAAGCTTCCCACTCTTGATTTCATCCCAGGTCATGATCTCAGGGTCTTCAAATCGAGGCCTGCACGGAGCCTGCTTAAGATTCTCTCTCTCTCTCTCTCAATAAACAAATAAATGATAAGTAATAGATAAAATCTTAAAAAATTGAGGGAGAACAAAGTCTTAGAAGGTTGTGATATAACAGAACTGACTGAAGAGAGAACATGACCAGAACTACTTGTTAGAAGTAAGGTGGAGAAATAAATTTAATGTGTAATTCAGCAAGTTTTAATTATGAGTGAAAAGTTACAGTGTTGGAATGCTAGGGCTACTTTCAAGAGGTTTCTGTAAGAAATGTACATTTTTCAATAGCTTTATCGTACTCCTATGTTGTAAGATAATTAAAAATGACATTTGTTTTAAAATTATAATTTAAAATCCAACAGTGTTTTTTTGAGAAAACTTGGAGTAAAGAAAGTGAAAATTCTCCATAATTGCACCACCCAGAGATAGCTGTTACTATTACTAATTTCATCTGTCGACTGTACTATTCTTTTCTCTATTGTGGTTTTTTTTTTTTTTTTCCACAAAAAAAGTTACTCTATTACCTTCATTTTCACTTAATGTCGTGTAAATGTCTTGGCATGTTTCCATGTCATGGGCCACTTTATTTACAACAATTGTGATGTTGCACAATACTACGTTGTATGGCCATCCTATTTGATTTAACCACTCCCCTACTTTTGGATACTTAGGTTGTCCCTGGCTTCTCACTATTACAGATAATGCTGCAGTAAATATCTTGTAGTGTCTTTACATAACTGTGATTATTAGTATAAATTCCTAGAAGCGAGATTGTTGGATCAAAGTGTATGTGGGCTTTTAAGACTTATTGCTAAATTCTGTTCTATAAACATATGTTTATGGTACAAGTATTGCTGCATTTGTAATGCTGACTCTGGTGCTTTCAGATGCAGTAACTTCCAGTAGAATTTAATTGTTTAAAAAACTAGTGTTTTTGTTAATTTTTAAAAGTTGTGTCTAGGGGCTCCTGGGTGGCTCAGTCATTAAGCGTCTGCCTTCGGCTCAGGTCATG